TCCTCCTCCTCCTCATCCCTAGAAACCAAAGAATATTTCTTTCTGTGCCTAAACTTTTTAAATGAAATTTCTAAGGGAGAAAAGTGCAACAATGGATGAATAGAAACCCTAAGTCTCTATAAACTTTCATTTAAAAATAAATAAACACATAAAAAATTTCGAGTCACTGTACAATTTTATATTTCTAGCAGGGTTCTGATCTTTCCACACTCTTTTTTTTATACTTTTAAAATTTTATTTCATTTTAATAATTTTAATGAACATTTACAGAGAACTTGGATTTCCATTCATTCATTGCTGCACTTCTCTACCCGCCCTTGACAAAACTTGGCTATTTTTCCTAGGCCTTATTTTTGGTTTGGTTTTGTAAAAATGATTTTTAAAACTTTGCTATTGCCAGGATGAGGGAATACTTAATAGGTGTTCTGATTAGCATCTCTCTAACTGCGAATGATCCCAAGCAAGTCGTGTAACATTAGATTTTGTTATTAATACCTTCAATGAATGCTTTTCACTTCAAAATTTGGGGGGGTGTGTGTGAGAAGCGGAAAAGAGCAGTTTTACATGGATTTTTTTAATATGCTACAAAACTTTCTGCTCAGGGAGCTCTGGTGGCCTAGTGACAAGAAGCTGCACTGCACGCGGTTCGAATCCACCAGATGTTCTCTCTGCTGGAGAAAGAGGGGCAGTCTCCTCCAGTACCAGTCGGATCAGATTTGATGGTAAACACCAAAAAAAAAAGAATTAAAAAGGAAAAAACAACAACAACTTTCTGCTCTACTTAATATGTAGATACACCACAATGATGCTCAGAATCCTCAGTCAAAGTGGGCTCCCAAACACAAAAGAAAGACTTCAGATAAGGTCAGCACACATTGTATAGTAAAGATGGCTAAAAAAAAAAGAAACATGACTCTAGTAAAGATGTAGAAATACAGCTTATGACACAATTATACTAAGGAAAAAATACGGGGAGACAATATATATGGAAGATGGGAACAAAGAGCTTTATTTTGTTATGCTTCCATGATCTCACACTAGTAGAAAATTTTCTGTTAACCTGAGACTTTTGCACGTGACTAATCAATCTCCTATTATGGTAGCATAGCGAAAAGTAAATTTACAGAAAAAATAGAAATGTCTAACATGTACTAGTTCTTCATTAATGTTACAAAGGAAGGGCTATGGTGTAGATTATGTGGGGAACCACAGAAGAAACAGTCTTTGTCCTCAGCAAGCTTAATTCTGGAAAATGTGGACATTATAAAACCTCATCAAATTTCTAAGGAATCCAACTATCAATTTCTGGTCCTAGCAACAGTCAAAGGTTATTATATCCATGGCACTGATTGGTGTTTACCTCTTAATTCTTTTCAATCGAGGGCGACCACATCAATGGACAACAACAACAGTTCTACGGCTACAAATCATAGGAGAGTGCCATGAGCGATGCTGCCTTACAGGTGACTAGAAGAACTACAACAACGATGATGAAGACCGTTATCTTGCCACAATCGAATACTAAAACTTGAAGAGTCAACACAGAGAAGAACGTAGGAATGAACTTCAGTTGACCATTATCAATGTGTCTGATTCAGGCTCTACCTTCAGATGCAGATGCCTCTTTAAGTATCAGAATGAGGGTTTGATGTACATTAGAACTAATAGTACTTGAGATGAAAATAAATGACCGACTAGACCCCTCCCAGGTTCTAAGAGGGGTCAGATTTCCCATTTATCAGCTAGCAGTAAGGGTAGGCGAGCAACTCAATCTCAGACTCTCTTCTGTGGCTGCTTCATGGATGGCTGAGGGGAACACTTCAAAAATGAACCAGCTAAACAAACTTCCCAGCAGCACTTGACAGAGCTACACCTATTCTTCCCATTTCCAAAGCAGTGGAGAATTAATTACCAGTTCTATGGATCTATTGTAAGTATAATAGACTAAAGAGCTATCACAGACACATTTATTGTAAAAGCACAATCCCAAGAGTGTCTAGTAGAGGGCCAAAACGATTAACACAAATGCTTTGTCAGATCAAAGATAAAACCTGCACCGCCCAATTGAGGAATGAATTAGAACAGTGGGTTATCTTTCAAATTAACCAGGGCAGTTAGTGAGGAAAATTTCATGAAAGTGTAATTCTTAGCCTTTGTGAATCCACACAGCAGGCATTCTGCCAGCTGACAAGATGATGAAATTTTCATGCTTAAAAAAAGCCTTCTTCATTTCCCAATTTAGATTAGCTAGTGTTTCTCTCCTCTTTTTTTTTTAAATGTATCTATTTGCTCTTCTGGAGCAAAATTTAAGAGGAGGGGGTACATAGATCAATTTCTCACTGAAAAATTGAGTGTTTCAAAAACATCCCTAAAAGCTTACAGATTTGGTCTTTAAACTGGCTTTTTATGACTAAAAAAAAAAATCAATTAAACTTTAACTGTGTTCCGAGGAAACAGCAAGGACCGGGACACGAAATCTACTTTGCAGTAAAGCTCTTCATGCTGCCTTCAACATTTTATCAACTCTGAGAATAGAGGCATACTGTTGTTTCCTTCTAAAGAAATGAACAAATTACTAGAAACTATCCTTGTTCAGTGTTTTATGTATTTTTGTGTATATTTGACTGCTCTAAGAGAAGGGAATTCAAGGATCTTTGTCATAAGGTGAAAGAAGAAATAGTATTTCCTCTCCTATTAAAGTAGTCAACTTTGAAACATGATGCAATAGATTGATTTTCATGTAAGTGAAGTCATATATATTTTGGAAGCCAGAGTGGCATCTATATCCTAAACAACATGCCTCTGGAAACTATGAACTTTGATAAATGTTGATAGTTGTAGAGGGGCTTCAGGTCCTTTGTTCACAGGGTTGCTATGAGTTGTGCTCGACTCAAGGCAATCAACAACACAACATATGAACCTACACCTTTATTCCTTTTTATTTGAAAATCGTATTTTTATTTTTTGACAACCATATTTCTTGGTGATTTGAAACTACGCTTGATCAAATTCTGTATTCCACTCTTCTCCTAATGATGAAGCATGTGTTTCTCAATGTAACTTGTACGTCCCCTGAAGTGACTCTAAGTTTAAAATGGAGGGAGGAGGAAGCTTCAGATAAAAACAAGAATTAGCAAATGAAACCACTAATATGTACTCTCAGTCACTATGTACAGTAGGCAGTTCTTTTAAGATCACAAAACAGGAGTAAAGAGCTGTAGGTAATTAACTCACCACTCACTCAACCTCAGTACTATCAATATCTTTGGCTCTACAACACTTGACATATGTTAGTGTCCAACTGGATTGCCATTAGTAGTCCTTGTAATCAACACAGCTGGTGGTCAATAACAAAGAAACTCAATGTAATGTCCCTCTACTGGCTCAAGTAAGAAAGAGAAGGGCCTACCATGAAGTAGAACTCAGAAGAGCATGATCTTTTTCTGTGAATGCGCTAATTCTGCAAATACAGGAGACATTCACACAGCGTGGAGCCATGAAAAGAAGGAATAATGGCGATCTTTCTCTGTCACCCAATCAATAATATATGCTAAACATCAGAAGTTCATTTCTAATTTAGATGATAGTCATACTAAACTCCAATCTTCGATGTGATATTTGTCTATTGATTAGAAACCCCATGGAGAAGTCAATCAAGTGGGCAGTTAACTACTTACTTGTGGCAACATGACAAATAAAGAGAATGCTCTCTAAGTCTTGGATTAAATTTCTAGACAATGAAAATGAAGTTATTTAGACTGAAAAAATGTTTACATACTCACCACTACTACCATACATACAAAAATAAGTTAAAAAGCAATGTTTCAGTTAGCAATGTTTCTAAACTACATAGAAGATCAATTTTCTGCCTATTTCCAACTTAGCCAAAACAGATTGTCCCATCTTAGAGAAAGAAAATACAGGAGTTTCTTCTAATATTAACATTTCCATGGTGAAAATGCTGATAGACTAAACAGTGAAAATTTAGAATTCTTCCCATAATGAATGATTCCCAAAATCATGCTCTGCTAGTGAGGTCTATAAATGAGGAACTGAGTAATTCTGACGTTGATTCTTCATGCTGAATAAAGGCCTAACATTTCATATCCTGAACGTTTTGTCTACTTTGGAATGTGACCTCCCCCCAGATAACCTTGACGTCCATCCAACTGTTCATTAAATGAAGCACAAGATTTTTTTTACTAAAAAAATGTTTTAGATGTCCCCTAAATGTAGTCACAATTACTATTCCGAGAAAACAGAAACAGAAAAATGGATTTTTTTACAAATATAAAACATTCTACTCTAAAATTGCAACAGATAAAACAATTCTAGGTTTACTAATCATTCTACTGCTCTAATACTCTTTTATTTTTATAAAATAGGTCCATTTTTACAGAAGAAAATGCTTGATGTTAATTAATGTTCATGTAGAAAAGAAAATTATACTGATAAAAGTCATGAGCCATAATACCTTGTCAATGTAGCATCTTTAAACGCCAGAAAAATGGAATTTGCATTTAAAAGACATTTTTTTATTTTATTACTCAGAAACTAAGCAATGAATTCAGTTTATCACATAAAAAAGAGAATCAGCTAGGGGGCGGTTAATTGAAACCATCCCACATGATTTTCTGGCCCTACTTTCTCCTGTGCCCAAAGATTTGGGTAACCATTTAACTTAGCCTTATTTAGATAGGAGTAAAGAAAAACACTTCCTTACTCCCATTTTTCTTAAAAGCAACTGAATCTCATTACTTAAAATACTACAAATCAATGAAAGAGATGTAATGCTTAATAGAAAATCAGTTCATTTGTCATGCTATTATTTTTTCCAGGTTTAGATTAATGGGATTTTTCTTGGAACATTCTCTAAAATCTTCTCCATTTCAAAGAAACAAAGAAACAAATACAAAAATCATATTGTTTTATATTAATAGTTACCAAACCAAGAGCCTAAAATTTGTATGTGTAAAAATAATCTCTTGATAGATACTTACATCATAGTATTTTTTAATGCAACGTCTAATGTCCATGATCAATTTATTGCTCAGCTGTACTGTAAAGGTCAGAGGTGATGCATTACAATCAATGTTACTGCAACGATACAAGCTGGGCTCCATATCAGTTCCCTACAGAGATGAAAAAGAAGTGCAGACAGACAAATATAAAAAAAATTATTCCAAAGTTATAAAAGGTTTCTGGGTCCTTAAAACTTGTATGTCATCCTGGTGTGCAACATTAATTCATTTTATTGTTGAGTATTTAACCCTATTTCACAATTATTTTTCTTCCCAAGACCCCACTAGCCACATTAGTAAAAATACCTTCCACAGCTTTGTCACTATCACAATGGTGGCAAGGTTGAAGCAAAAGCTCTGAGATTATTTTACACTCAACACAAGACAAATTCTGTGGATAAAACAACTTTCCCTCTGAAAATGGCAGTAAAGGTTTGTTATTGGAAATCTCTTTCAGAGATGCTTAATCAGAATGCTTAATTTTGGACTTATACATTTCATACTTGAAGAAAGAGTCCTATGACCTCAGTCTGCTTTCATATTGTCAATGAAAACGGAAGCATGAAGTACAAAAATTAAGTGTTGCACCACAAAACTGTATCATTTATCGGCAGCTTACCAAATGAAAAAAGTTCTGCTTACCCACCCCCCACCCTACCCCCATCATGGAAATGTTTTTGGAGGAGAAGCAAGATAGATTAAAAGTTGAGAAAAAAAGGGTTTTTTTTTTACTCGTAAAAACAAAACAAGCCCCACCAAACCTAAAACAAAAACAAAGCAAATATAATGTTCAGGAAAAACTGTTGGGGTTTCTGGACCATTTGTTTTCCTTCTTAACACTTAAAACATCTTGGTTTCCTGCTTCTATCTGGTGCATAACCCAACCCGCCATGTGAAGCAATTCCAGGTGGAAGAGATTTTAGAGCTTGACATCGGCTCTTCCACAGTTAGCCCATCTGCAAGTTGTCAAGCCTCCATGCAATTAACCATCTTATTTACAGCTGTAATGAAGCAAAACTCAAGGATTTAGCAAGTATTGCTGATCTGTGGCTGCCTCGTCCTCACACTTGCTTCCAAAGACTGCTTTGTTTTCATTCAAAAAAATGCAAAACATCTGCTGTTTGTCCAAATTAACTTAAAATAATTACTTTTAATTTAGATAAAGGATATATTTTCTTTCAGTTTCAAGGTTTTACATAGCTTTGTTGTCTAGTCATCTGCCAATGGCTAGTACATGTGTAACACTGGAGTGGAATCAAATAAGTTGGCCAATTTTCCAAGTCCTAAACCAAGGTCAATGATACATTTTTTGGCAGGACTTCTTGAGAGAAATGCCTGTCCCTGATTTCTTAAATGTATGATATGCAAAGACAGCAGGAAAGATAACAGAAGTACCTTTGTCAGAGAGGTGGTAAGTGGGATAGGAGGTAAGATAAGAAAAAACTTTCCTAAAACACTTCATTCCCATTAATTTAAGATATAGGAAAATATTGCCTTAAGTCTTAATAAATGGAGGTTGGAGGTGGGGAAATACAGGTTACTAATTAATGAATTACAATCAAAAATACTTTAAGATAATTTAGAATTTTTGACATTCCATTTGAAAACCAAGGTCAATCACTTACAGATGCCAAAAGTAATATTCGAGAACATGTGTTTAAAAAGTTTTCAAGGAGAAATGAACTAAGTTGTGTTGTGAAGGCCATATTATGCTAAAATTTTTTAAACTCATGCAAGACATGCTTAGCTGTGTTTTCTTTGTGTATCATGCTAGGGGGGTTTATGCACTTTATGGAACATCACTCACAAAATTAAAAAATGGAAAAGAAACTAACCGAACCATCAAAGACGCTGTCATAAATATTCTCAGTTCCACATGCAGGACATGAACATTTGAATTTTTCAGTGTCCCTGTATTTCTCTTCATCAGTGAGCTGTGCTGGGCCACCAAGTAAAGCATCATTCTCTTCATCTTTATGATAATGGTGAACTCGAAACTGGGTAGGGTCGAGTCCTATTGACGTAGAAGGAAAAAGAACAAATTCAGAAGGGTACAATAATGTAAATACTCTCATCCCAAAACTACCCAAAGGGGAGGGGGAGCCTCAAACAAGATAATTATTCCAAATTTGCATACATACACAACCATTTGAACTTAAGATAAAGGCTAATAACATGGGTGAAAGACTTAAACATCCCTCCCCAAAGTGATTACTTCATAAATTAAAAAAGTAAACTAACACAATAGCAAAACATGCTCTGGTCATTTGGATTTGGAAGCAACTCCTATAGGATGGCTTTACCATTTTATTAAAGTTACAATGAAAATCTCAGATAAATTGGATAGTGTTATTAAGAAACTCTTCAAATCAAAGTGGTACCATTAAAACTGAAAATAGAGAATAAAAAATCCCATTAAAGAAAACAGGTTCACAGCTATTACAACTCCTTCAAGTGGAGACACAACTGCTAACACTGATTTCAATGCAGTGGTCGATTTCATCTTGGCTCAGTAGTTAACAGCATGTAGGTTGCAATCTAATTCAGTGGTTAAAATTCAGTAGCCGCATCTGAGCCAAACACAACATGGCTTTTTGGTGTTCAGAATTCAGAAATATGTGCAAAAGCAATGTATCTACAGATTCTACAGGGCAAAATGTGCCCTAGCAATCCTAAAATCAAATCTACCTTGCACATTTCAGTAGAAATAATTTAACTAAATCATGCATAGTTTATGCCATCATATTTCCACAAACTATTGAAGAGAAACATTTTCAGGCCAGTCGGTTTAATTTGCCCATAGCCAAAGTACACCTGATGCATTTACTATTTGAATTTATACTTATGGTATTCCACACTTTATCTTAGAATATATATATAGATACACACAACCCCCCCTTACATATTCTCTTATAAGTATTTCTTCACAGCCTTTAAGACTTCTAGGCATTGTAAGAATCTATGAAAAGCTATCGAACATACAGGTAAACAGGTAAATGATAAACAGGAAGAAATGATAAAAAGAGGGGGGGAAAGTAGATACATACCAAAAATATATCTAAAACTGGTTTTAAATCTTTCAATAGCTACTAAGGTAGATAATCTAATAAATGTATTCAGAATTCAGTAATGAAGTCTTCAGTCCTATTTTGGCATTTGTTATGAGACATCTAGTAAACCAGAATATACTTCAGGCAGACTCTTCCAAGTAGAAAGATGCTGCATAAGGAATGAGACTGAGTCTTCGAGTCTCAGTTTCACCACCTGCAAAATGGAGGCAGTGCCACTGATCATGCAAAGCTGGTTTAAGGTTTCTAGCTCGTAACATATTACTTACGCTTTCAGTGGGCAGGCACTCAAACCCAACTTGAAAAGCTAGCGAAGAAACAGTTCTTCTCTAGACTATATTCACTCAAGATAAAGGATTCAGGAACATATATAAAACTCATGTCCATGCATATCAAGTTCCCCTGGTTTGTAGAAATTAATCAAAGTGAGTTTTCTAAAGTGACAGCATATAACAAAGAGCGCACAAAACAATTTGAGAAAGGTGTTCTTTCTTAGCCACATGAATTACAGTTACACGGGTCAACCCAGAGACTCATTATCTATTTGTTTAAAACTAAATCTGTGCCTTAAGAGGAGCGGCAAAATTGGTGACAGATGTGGGAATAAACCCCCTCACCTTTAAAGATAAGACTGGCAAAGGGACTGGGGGAGAGCGTGAAAGCCTGGGAGAGAGGCCATTTTCCCCTGTAGCGAAGACAAACTACTGCTAATTCCTTAGGCACCAGTTGTTAAGCCAACTGTATTTGTGAAAATGAAAACACAACTTCCTCCTTCCTCAGAGTAATTATTAATTCTAAATCCTATATTATTCAAAAAGTCAGGAAAAAGGCAAGAAAGGATAACAGGTAAATTTCTACCATCCAAACCTGAAGGGTGGAGGAGAAACCCAAACAAGCCAATATCAGCTTTGTACTTTCTCAAAAAGGGGCAGTCTGTGAGAAGGAACCCAAAGAAGCTGTCCTCCTCCCCTCCTCACCAGCCATGGCTCACACAGCCCACCTGAGCACATGGATGGAGTCTGTTGAAAAGCATGGGCAACTTGCCTGCTGGGTAAGCTCAAACTGGACATGTGTGCTCTGCTGACTTATGGGCAAGTGCCTAAAAACTAGCCGTAAGTTATTGAAAAACATCAAGCTTTATAAAATGTCTACTCTAATCATCCATATCCACAAACAACGTTTATCTTCCAATGGTAGTACGAAGCCAAGTGGCCTAGCCAGTAATTTACAGGCTAATACAAGTATTGCCCACAATACAAACTAGTTCTGTTCCAAAGTCCATATTTAAGTCAAACTGATAGCCAAAGACAGAAGAGTAAGGTATGGCTCCTACCTAATGTCTGTCAAACATTTTGTCTTACTATATACCATTATAGAGTGTGGAAATTATCAAACAGTATCATTGATACCACATGCAAGCAAGATTCTGCCAACTTGGAAACAGCCCAAAAGTCCAACCACAAATGAATGGATGAGAAATTATGGTACATTCACACAATGGAATATTATGCAGCACGTAGGAGCAATAACTTTGTAAATTATTACCTAACTTGGGAGGGACTGGAGAGCATTATGGTGACTGAACTAACTCCGTTCCACAAGGATAAATATTGTATAAGACTGTAATTGTAGAATGAGTATAAGGATCCAGGAGGGGTGGGAGAGGCTAGAAGCAGAGGGATGTGGATGTACAGGGGGAAGAGGGGATTAATCACTGGATTTGATGGGTGGGGGGGATGAGTGAATGTGTTCAAATTTGTATTAGAATTTTGTAAAGAAACTACTTTTTAAAGAAAGACCAAAAAAAAAAAAAACAACCCACAACAAAAAAAGAAAACCGGAGAACTGCCTGGATTTAGAAGAGGCCGTGGCACTAGGGATATTATAGCTAATGTCAGATGGAACTTGGCTGAAAGCAGCGAGTACCAGAGGAATGTCTTTCTATGTTTCATTGACTATGCAAAGGCATCTGACTGTGTGGATCACAATAAACTGTGGCTGACTCTGAGAGAAATGGGAATCCCAGAACACTTGATTGGACTTATGCAAAACCTATACTCCGACAAAGAGGCAGAACAGAGCAAGGAAACACTGCATGGTTCAAAACTGGGAAGAGTGTACTGTACATTAAGGATGTGTCCTGTCTCTGTATCTTTTCAAGCTATATGCGAAACAGATTATCTGGGAGGCTGAGCTCTACGAGGAGAAGTGTGGCATAAGGATTGGAGGAAGATTCATCAACAACCTGGAGATGACTGGTATGCAGATGACACAACCTTGCTTGCTGAAACTGAGGAGGACTTGAAGTGCTTGCTGCAGAAGGTCAAGGACTACAGCCTTCAATATGGATTGAAACTCAACATCAAGAAAACAAAGATTCTCACCACAGGGCTGATTGGAAGCATCATGATGGATGATGAAGAGACTGAGATTGTAATAGCTTCAAGTTGCTTGGTTTTACAGTCAATACTCTTGGTACCAGCAGCCAGGAAATTAAAAGATGAATTGCATTGGGAAAGTCTGCTGTCAGAGATCTCTCCAAGGTACTGAGGGACAACGATGTCAGTGTTGAGACTAAGGTGCACCTGATACAGACCACAGTCTTTGCAATTATTTGCTATGCATCTTATTTGCTATGCATCAGAGAGCTGGACAATGACTAGGGATGATAGAAGGAGAGTTGATGTCTTTGAGCTGTGGTGCTGGAGAAGAGAACTGAATGCATGTACCATGGACTGCTAGGAGAACAAACAAGTTCATCCTGGAGAGGGTGACACCAGGCTCTCCTTGGAGGCAAGGATTCTGAATCTCCAGCTGACATACTTTGGACAAGTTGCAAGGCGAGATCAGTCCCTGGAGAGGGACATCATGCTTGGGAGGGTGGAAGGAGAGGGAGACCCTCGATGAGATGGACTGATTCCATCACTGGGGTAATGGGAATAGGCGTGTTGGGGACAATAAGATTGGCAGGGGATAGGCCTGTTGTACAAAGGGTCGCTATGATTCACAGGCAACTCGACAGCACATAACAACAACAACAACATATACTATGATATGCATAAATAAGAGAACCATTTCCAGAAACTCTAAAACATCTTTAAGTGATAATATGTTTATGCTAGTCACAAAGTAGAACCTGTTTGTAATATAAACTACAGCATGTACTTCTAATTTTGAATATAATAGGAGTTGGTTCATAACTATGTATATAATGTGGACAAATGTCAACTTGGAGTTAGAGTGTACTTTGGGTTCAATCTCATGCTGAACATTTTTAGGCAGGGGACTTCATCTCAGCATTTCCTTGGTCAGAGTTTAGTGTTAAAATACAAAAATTTAAAGATAATGATATTGTAAGCATCTTAAAATATTAGATATACAAAGATCATAGTCCAAGTTACTGAAATAAAGATGTCAAATAAAAGTTATTTTGATAAGAGGAAAACTACCAGTTCAACAGGCAAATTGCCACAAGGCTAAACTAAATCCTATAAGGGAAGCCTGTCATATTTTTTTAAAAAGTCAATTAGAATAATTTTTTTAACTATAAAATAGTCTTAAACAAGAGCCACACATATTTCACCAAATTAATTCTTTTTTTCCCAAAGCTTCATATAATTGGTAATAAGCAGTTTTATCTAAGTTTCAGCAGATTTAAAAGTTTTACTGCTTACATCCTAACTCATTAAAGGTGACTGAAACAACAGGGGGAAAAAGTATCTAGTGCTGCCACCTAGAGGAAGATATTCTGAATTTTTAAACATGCACAATAGGCCTGCAACATACAACTATTTGTAATGATTGTTCTTCCAAATTAAACATTTATATTAGGAATAACATTAAAGCAAAATCTTCAGGATCACAGCTACCATGTGTAAATATACACTGTATATAAATATTATACTTGCCACACAATAAACAGCTCCAGGGACGTAGTAAGCAAGCA